GTGAGCCTGTCAGTTTAATCACTATTAATATGATTGGTAGAATGAGAGGAAGATGCAAACTTGCTTCTAGAGTAACTACAGCATTTATAAATGGTGACGCAAGAACTGTGGTGGGCTTTACAACAGAAAAAGTCAAAGAACTGCATCTGAATCAGAATGACTAACTACTGATATAATCATCAGGGTGGGTGTCAATCCTATAGGTGACATAGGCAGCCGCCTGGGGCACCAGCTTTTAAGGGGAACCCAATTTGCCAGCCAATTTCGCTTTGCCTTGCACTGGTGGGGGGTGGGGGGTGACGCTTGCCTAGGGCTGGTACCAGTCATTATACTTATGATCGCATGCATGAATTACTCAGTGGGTAATTTGTGTAAAATTATCTATACACCAAGGATGACTGTATGGCAGTGCTACCAATACAAATCAAGCTTAGCTGTTTTCTCCTTTTATATGTGCCATTCAGATCTGACCATTTTCCAAGCAGATCTGGAATCTATCATTTACAGTGACTTTTATGTTAAATGTGTATTTAAGCATCTCATTAATGCAAGCAAATGTGTTTGGAAATACTCAGTCCCCAGCAAACAAAAAAAGGGATTTTTTTGCATATATTATTCCAGTTTTTCCTGAATGGACATTAGTCACAAATTCGCACACATGATTAAGTAACGATTCCTCAAATCTGAGTGTTTGATTTTACCTTGACGAGCGGCTGCACGTTATCACAAGCTGAGAGGGGGTCACATTCTGCATCACAAGACACCCAAGTGGAAGCAGCCGACGCAAGACCAAAATGGTTCATGCGGTGTTTTATGTGGTCTGATCAGTGGTATACCTGCCAAAACATCATTAGTTCATTCGCTCGGCCTTCCTGCTGTTAGACATTTATCCAAAAATACTAATTTTCAATGCAGCAGATTCATTAATTTAAGTTATAAACATAATACAAGGATAATTATTACATCCATATCAATATAGACTTGATTATTAGCATAATGAAATTATTACTGAATTTAATACCCATAACCTTACGGACATACGCACGCATAACCCACCCTACACTTAGCGTCTGCAAACGCTTCGAAGGCTTACAAAACGCACGTATTAATACTTCTTGAGAGTTCAGACTTGAAACACTTTTGGTGCCGATCGATTCAGCTCAGTTTATTTTTATTACACGCATTTCCATGGCGCTTATCGACCGTAGCTCATTTTCGCTTTCTAAAGGTATTTATTCCAACAAACGAATATCTGTTCTGCACCGTTATGATAGCATGATTGTTTAATTGCCGTCGTTGTTTCTGAGAGTATCTTAAGGTAGGCAGTAAGGAATCAATTTCCAAGAAAATGGTGGTGGAGGAGAGGAACGAATGTACCGCATCTTATTTTGTGAAGGAGCCCAGGGTGCAGGTTTCATCGCGGCTCAACGTGCGGACGATGATTCGCTGATCAACTGTGGTAAGTGAATGAAAAACAGTTTCGTCTTTGTAACACGCAGAGCTGCATGTTACTTCTCTATAATCGGCGATGTTTGTAGGGAGTAAATCAGCTCGTCGGGCTGCTGGCGACCGGCTGTGTCGGCGTTCGTCCCAACTCGGCTTGCAATCGATTAAACTTTAAGGGATATTGACTTTATCCGGACAGTGATTTGACACTTTACGCAAGATCTAGGCGAAGGTTTATTGGGGTTTGTGTAAATTACCGTTGTTTCTTTTTAGTATCAAACACTTATACATTTTAGATGCATATTTCCTGAAAGTAATTCTAAGTAACTTTTATATAAATAGGCCTAATCGGTTTGAGTAAGTAAATGTCTTAGTCTTCTTATTCAAACAAATAAACGAGTAGAATCTTCTAGCCGTTCTACTGCTCATATCCACACATTTTAAACCACGGTGGATTATAATTGACAGGCGGATGGGATGGTGGCCTGGGGTGACCCCGGCCTGGTGAGTAGCGTTTGCATGCCCTGTTTCTTCATCCAGCTGGTCGATCTGAATTTCCCGTAGTGTGCCCTCGATGGCCTGGCAAGATGGTCCCGGGTTTCCCCTGCCCATGAATCCTGGGTTAGACTGCGAGATCGTACTGGACGAGGAGATATGGAAGGTTAGTCCATCAGGAACGTGTGTGTGTGGGTTAGAAGGCTGTGTCTGTCATGGGAAGATCGCACGATCGTCTTACAGATTATACCGTTGGGCCCCTGAGCAAAGCCCTTAACCCCAAACTGCGCCAGGGACTGGCCGACCCTGCCTTCTCAACTGTATGTCACCTTTGATAAAAGTGTCCGCTAAATATATAAAATGTATAGATTCAAGAATTTATATCTTAGTAGTGCCGCCATCATAAGACGTTTTTATGCGTCAAACTCGACTCCAATTATTTTACATGTATCGGTCAGTATGAATGGATGTCGGTTTTGTAAATGTAAGCAGTGCGAATCTTCATTTTTTTTTTGTAAGTTTAAAAAACAAGCACGTCGACGCGCCGCAGTGCGCTTCCATCTTTTGCTTCTCCTCCTCGCTAGAGGGCGTTATTGAACAGGAAAATAATGCGAGCTCGTCTACTCCGTTTTTTCCCCATACAGTTAGTATACACTGGTAAAACAAAATTCGTAATTTATGCTGCGTTTATTTTATAGGTTAATTTCGCAGAGAATCTATGTTATACGATCTTCTATGTATGTCCAAATATTTTCTGAATTCCTCCACGGTTCTTTTTGAAAATTTATGACGCTGCAATTAAAATGGACAGGAAAGCTGATTCATCCTGGGCGAGGTTCATGAACACTTGTCTTATAAATTACAGGACTGTCCAGATTCTCTGTGCCTATCATGCCAGCGCCTCTCAGTATTCTTGATAAAACTGAAGGTTTAGTGATCCATCAATCTGACTAGATTAGTTCATCCTTAGGAGTACAGCTGTACAGGAAGATAAGTGTGTGTTTGCTCGGAATGGTGGGTGACTTTAGGGTGAGTGGCTATGTAGTCATTCTTTGGACCCTTAGTTATCATTTTATCTACTTGATATGTGCAATCGCCATATAATCCAAGACTGGGGGGGGGCACTCACAGGGTCAACTATTTGAGAACTGGCCAAGAGATTCTATCACAGGATGTCGCTACCCTGTAAATATGCCAGACAGCCGCTTGCAGTGTGACACGTATTTGCACCAAACTGTTTGCAGTGTTTATTGTGAGGTAGTATAGTATCCAACACAATGATCGCTGCTCTGTGATGTCGGAGAGGTGTGATTCATCACCTGGGCCTCCCAGAATTTCTGGGATGTTTGTGTGTTGTCTTGCATCCTTCAACAACGGCCTGAGGTTTTGCTGTAGAAGCTTTTTTTTTTTTTTCCCTCCTCCTCCTCCTCCTCCTTTGGGCCAAAATAGCTCATTGTAGAAATGGGGAAGTAACCCTTAAAAATTCAGCAAGGCTGGAATTTGATACTAACCTTCATGGGCCACTGAGCTACCGGTAAATCTAGTTCCGTCTTATAAAATGCTGTATGGGCGACGATCTTGCAAAACTGTTTAATTTCAGGATGGTCTGTATCATGTTGAAAACTCTTGTCATTTTTGTCTCTAATCCTGTAGCCATTTAATGATCTACTTCCAGTTAACAGTTCCAGCTCAATTGCAGTTCATCAGGCTATACTCACAGGCGCTAGGTCCACTACTGGAATTTGGACCTGTAAACCATCATCTGTCATCTGACTTCATAACCAGTATGACACCTACTTTCTTTTTTTAGTTTTTTATTTATTTTAATTCTTAAAACTGATATCCTGACATTCCAGCACAGCCCGTTTTTGTTAGCTTGTGTTGCTGAGCTGCTGCACACCCAGGATCACATTCCAACAGACATCCTCGTTAACTGATATTCTCGTTAAATGCGAAGGCATTTCCAGTGCAAATGGTTCGCTGGGCTAAACCAAACTGCGGAAGTGCTACTGTAAACATAAAGGCTCCGTTGTGCTTTGTGTCTGCCGGTTACGTTTTTTTTTTTTGGCGTTCGGGGTGAAAAAGCGATCCGATCCGTAGCGTAATTAATTCCTTGGTTGGAACATCGGGGGCTTACGGGCTCATTCTCCGTCAGAGTGCGGCACCGTCGCATGAAGGGGCTACGCAGTCCTTATCCGACACAGGAAGCATTTACGCAATGAGCACTTAGAAAACAGCCCCGTGATAATGGCTATAAGGACCCTTGCCGGACCTGGTGGGGCAATCTGACTACGTAAATTGTTTCCTTCCCTAGCCGTTTAGCCGGCTTTGCAGCCTGCAGAAAGGTGAAGCCCCCCCCAAAAGTGAAAAGCAGTTAGCAGTTTCACAAGAGGCCGTCCATCCTCTCTACAACCACTGGCAAATGTCCGGTTCATCATCTCGTTATTTGGGGAAGCTGTGTGGGTGGGAGTTGCTTCAGAAGTTATTTTTTTTTTTGGGGGTTGGGCTTAAATTATTACAATCATCACAATTATCCAGGGTTAATTTCTGTTGACCATTCTGTGGTGTGGGCTGGTTAATGCAGTGGCATGTGTGTTCGGGGGGGGGGACTTGCCTTTCCATCACCTCTGAGGAGGTGAACTGAGTTTACATTGCATGCAAACACACACACACACACACACACTCTGTTTTGGTAGATTTAAACTGAGCAGCCTCTGTCACCTTTTGCTTCAATCTCGCAGGACTAAGAAAAACTTGAAGTCTTCTGATTTCCTTTGCCCTCTGCTGAGGCTCACTCATGTCTCCTGTGGCTTGGCCAGTCTGGTCTGTGGTGGTGAGTGAAGGGCAGAGGAACTGAGCTCTCTACTTGGTCTCCTGCCTTTTTATGCAGGCTCCAAACACATGTTTGCTTTGCGGGGCTGCCAAAGTCCCAAAGAAAGTGGGAGACCCATAACTCGACCGCCATGTTTGCTGAGAACTGTATGGCAGAATGGGAGCAGAGCCGGGGTCAAGCATTTCATTGTGCTTCGGGACCTCGGTCGATTGGTGGAGCGGCAGGAGAAGAGCAGGTGCTGCCACTGGGCTTCTCCACGCAGGCTTCTGGAGCTGGTGGAAGCTTTGAACAGAAGATGTAGAAAAGTCAGGCCATCTAGAGCAGCTGCAGGAGCGGGGAGAAGGGAGCATGGCCTAGTTAGATAGGAGGTGGGGGTGCGGAGGGGAAGCGGTCCACATTTTTTCTTCCTCCCAGCTTCCTATCGGGAATAGAGTAGGGTAAAGAGACAACTGAAGCATTATCCCCACAATGAAATCCATGGATGTTCTGTGAAGTCTTCATGATGCTGGTGACATGACTGAAAAGCGCCCTGCTGGGATCGTGAGGGTTTATGGTGCCCATGTAGGCCGGGAGAGCAGCTGGCAGCTGCTGTTTGAGCTGCGGGAAACGTAACTGCAGACGGGGGCTTATTTTGATCAAGATCCATTTTTCCTGAGGGGATTGGAAATTCTGTCAGATGAGTGACCTTTTGCATGTTGTACATGCGCCCGGTGCAATTTGGCGCCTTTGAACGGATTCCCCGATTAGCTGTCACAGATTCCTTGGGGTCCCTGCCATTGTCTTTCAGTTATTGCTATTCTGTGCCGTGTGTACTATACAGAAATGGCTGGTGTGTGCAATCTGCTGTGTAATATTGTGCCCCCCCCCAACACACACACACACACACACACACACATCCAGTCTGCAGATATGCGGCTTGGTAGCCCTGCCTTGTTTGCTGAAGAGGAACCACGTGCTTCATAGAATGCAACGATCATTCATCCGGCAGTGAGTTGTAGCCAGGAGATGTCACTGCGTTTCCCAGAGGGCCACAAACTCTGCTTATGCTCTTGTCAGTGCACTGCATGGTGTGGGTGGTCATTGCCTTGTTTGAACCTGCTGTCCAAAACTCTCAGTGCAGGGGGGGTTTCCTCATGTAGGGTTGGGCAGTATCTAATTCTTCATACCATCATACCGTCCAGACATCGAATCATGGTGTGCTCTATTTTGATGGTATTTTCAAATGCAGCGCTATTCCAGTATTTTGAAATCTTGGCAATAAAATGGCTAATTTTGTTACCAAAATTCTGCGAGATGCAGTTTTATTATAATACTACCCAAGCCTATCCTGTTGTGTAAAATTATGAGATGCAGTGTGGCCTGTGCATCACTGGATTGGTGGCTTTAAATGGGAGTCCTCACTAACTGTCATGAATGGGGGGTATTCAACAGGGGGCGCAGTGCTTAAGGCACTCAGAGGACAGGGCTCGAGCACCTGAATTCAGTATCTCACAACAGTCCAAGTTAATTAACATGCAGTAGTTACTCTGAAATATCCCCAGGGCTTGTATTAAGGAAACAAGACATTAATAAACAGCCAATACCGGAATCCATTTAAACCTATCAGAGTTTTCGCCAGAGTCAGGTGAAGTTACATCATCCGGCGTTTGGTAACCAGTACTTGTGAATGTTGCAAAAGCTTTAACCACCTACAGCTGATCCGATTCTATCAGAGTGCAGTTGTTGGGGGTGGGGGGGTGGGGGAAGGCCTTACAAACCCATCGTAAGACTTGCCTGAACTTTGTCATTGCCTAGCAACAGGAATGGCATTCTTTTTTTATTTCTATTTTAAAGAGCATTGGGCTTTGTCAGTAGGAGTTGTGCCTTTTGAAGGACAACAAAAATCTCAACATTGTAACTGGATAACGCCAACCTAGCGTAGCTGTCATGGCCAAATGACAATGCCCTAAAATGTCTGGCCGACAGACCAGCCTCCTAATCCCAGGCTATGCTTTGAGCAATTAATCAGCCTCGCTGAGGTCGACCCCATTGATATTCAATGCAATGTTGGGTGGGAGAGCAACACAACACAACCTGCGAAAGGGATCCTGCTGCCGTGATGGATTTCAGACATCTGGCCCAGATCTGGGAATCAGGTCATAGAACTTGGCTGGAAGAATAACAAGTGCTTCATGTCGCCTCCGATTTCCACCGCAGGACTCGGGAGGTCGCTAAACAAATTGGGGGTTGATGGTATCGATCGCGGCTGGCCGGCAGCCGCTGGTACCCCTCCGTGTCTCTGTGTGCATGTGGGTCTGAGCTCCCCTTGGACGCGCCGGGTCATCATTGTGTCG